AAATATTTTTATAAATATATATATATATATATATATATTTATATATATTATTTATATATATATGAACAAATTAACAATGTTCCTTTTAAAAGCATCTTTAAAGCATCCATTATTCAAAGAATTTTTCCTGAGGGTTCAAAAATTGCTAAAATTATTCCAATTCATAAAGAAGGCGACAGATCGAATATAAATAATTTTCGCCCTATCTCTATCCTATGTATATTTTCTAAAGTCCTTGAAAGAATTAATTTTAACAGAGTTAATATTTAACTTAAATACAATAATCTACAATAGAACAATCAATTCAGTTTCAAAAAGGATAGTTCAACTGAGCATTCCATTACCTAATTTGTACTCAACATCTTCAAATCCTTTGAAAAAGCTCAATTTTCTTTATGAATTTTTATAACTCTATTAAAAGCATTTGATACGGTTGACCATAATATTTTAATACAAAAATTTAAGTATTACGGTTTGATCAATAATGCTTTAGCGTAGTTTAAAAGCTGTTAAACAAATCCTAAGCAAGTAGTTATTAGTAATAATGGAGTGAAAAGTGGATTCTTTACATATAATCTGTGGTGTTCCACAAGGTTCTATTATTGGACCGCTCCTTTTTCTTATTTATGTCAATGATCTAAACAAAGCCTTTAACCTGATGAGTATTATTTATGGAGATGACACCAATTTATTTCGATCCCACACTGATGTTTACAAACTTCTCTTAAAAACTAATAATTAACTAATAAACATTTCTACATGCTTTAAATGTAATTAATTAACGTTAAATACTAACAAGACTAAATAGAATCTTTTTCACTCCCTCTCAAAAACACGTTGTTTACCAGATATCATGCCTCAAATTTATATTAATATAACTTAAAAAAAAAAGTGATTCTGTTAAAAAATTCCTAGGTGTTTATCTTGATGAGAATATTACTTGGAAAAAACCATATTAATCATATAAGCGCAAAGATATATAAAAATATTGGCATTTTGTATAAAGCGCGATCTTACTTAAACAAAAAAAGCCTTACACAGCTCTGATACTCATTTATACACAGCTATATACACTACGCAAATATTGCATGGGGTAGTACCGAAAAAAATTAACTACAACGTCTATATCGCCAACAGAAACATGCGACTCGCGTAAATAGTTTTGTGGGTCGCTATTCACATATACAGTATTTCTTTGATCAAATGAAAATACTTAATGTCTACAATCTTAACGAATTTAATGTTTTATGTTTTACTTATAAGTGGAAAAATAATTTATCTCTACCTGTTTTTAATGACCTTTTTACATTAAAACTTACTAATAAGTACACACTAAGAAACAAAGATTTGCTAAATGAACGATTTTGTAGATCAAAATTTAATAAACTTTGTATTAATTATTGAGCACCTTACATTTGGAATAAATTAGTTCAGCCTAAATTTGATTATTTTATCCGTTTTTCTGTTTTAAAAATGATTTAAAAAATTTTATTCTTGCTATGGATGACATTTTAAGTTACTATTAATTTGAAATATAAACTTGATTTATGAGATTTATAGTAATATTTGTGTTAGTAGATTTGTTTTCTTTAATTTACAATAGATCTATAAAATTTGTTATATTGGATATTTATAACAAACTTGTGAGAATTATTAATACAGATACGTGATTAATATTATGAATTTAATACTATATATTTATTATTACGGCCGTTTTTTGGATTTATCTTTTCAGTTTTTATAGCAGGATAAAAGTTGTACAAGTCAAGAAGTAAAAAATACAAATACAGCTATATAATTTTACGACTGTTAATTTTATGCTTATTGCAATTATCTGTTAAGAAAACTGGGTCAGAGAAATTTAATCTTTTGGTTTCTGGTTATTTTGTAACATATTGTTGCCACAATGTTTGTGAATTCTCCTTTTTATTTAATTATTTAATAATATCAAATTATTTAATTATTTATCAAATTATACCTGCTAAATATTTTGGCGATAAACATTGAAGATGAAATTATACCAGTTTTTTTTCCTAAAAATGAATATTTTTTTAATAACAAACTTTTCAAAAACCATAAAATAATTGAAATATTTATAGCAAAAGATGACACTTGTGCCTTCGAATACACATTGATCATCATTCAATCTAATTTTTTAAAACATTTAAATAATATTTATAAATAAAAAAACTTATGTTAAACGACATCATTAACATTTAACAGTATAACTTCGAACTCTCAATTATATTCATTAAAATATAAACAAAATAAAAAAAGATATCTTAAGCTTTAGAATTTAAGATTAAATTTAAACCTTACCAACATCAACTTCGGAAATACCGAACTCCTAAAATCATATTTAAATAAATAGTAGAAAAAATAGTTGCTATAAAATATGAGTTAAAGTAAAATTATCAGTAAAAACTTAAAAAAAAAAAATTTCCAGAATATCTAATTCTGATAACAAGATATGGGAATATATATATATATATATATATAT